TTCCTGCTGTTTCTAGTTTACAGAGAAGATGTTGGAATAAACATGTACATTTCACTGTTGACTGTATTTGGTTGTTCGCCAAGCACGTGCCTTGTGCCCCAGTAGAGCTTACAAACTAGAGGGGATACAGCACGGGGGTGGGTATTTGTGGACAGACGCCCTGTAGCTAATGCCTCTGTCGTTCCCTCCACTCTAGGCCTGGTCTCCAAGTCCTCTCCTAAGAAGCCTCGTGGACGTAACATCTTCAAGGCCCTTTTCTGCTGTTTTCGCGCCCAGCATGTTGGCCAGTCAAGCTCCTCCACTGAGCTCTCCGCATACAAGGAGGAAGCCAACACCATTGCTAAGGTAGCTGGACCCAGGGTGGTGTGATGCCAGCAAGGACGGGACTGCTGTGAGCGAGTGGGGGTCCCTGCAACCACGGCAGGGAGACAGGGCAGCCTTGCCTGAGTTGGAAGATCTCTGGCCCAGAGGAGGCCCTTCCTCTGTCCTTCCGATAGTGGTCCATCTTCTTCCTGTTGATTCCCATTTGTGGTGTGGGCCATCCGGATGTCCCTGTGCTTTCTGAGGGGCCCCACGGTCCAGATCCTTCCAGGTTCCAGGAACCATGCAAGGTGCTTTGCGTAGGTTGTCTTACATGACCCATAGCAGCCCTGCAAGGAGAGCCACAGGATTCCCACTCACAGACGGAAACTGAGACTCAGAGAGTGTATGTAGCCGCTGAATAGTTAATGGTTAATAAATGGTAGTATCAGGGTTTGAACTCGGATCTCTCTGGTTGTAAGTCCTGTGATTGTTGTTGTTTATTTTTAACTAAGCAAAAGGACCTTCCAAGTTACTAGGCTTTCAGGGAACCAAGGAATTGAAATTCGATCACATTCTTGATAACCCCTTCCAGCACTATCACCTGTACCTGTGAGAGACATATGGAAATGTGTGGGTGTCTTTGATTCTTACAATTACCAGAAGATATGTCTGGCATTTCAGAGGCGGGGGACAGAAATCCTCCTTTCCGCAGTGCCATTTGTACTTCTTTCTGAAGCACCAAGGTTTAGCTGTCCTTCCTCTCTTTCAAAACCAGGCTAAAGATACGTACATCAGTGAAAAATCACCTCATTATCCAAAAGGGGACATTGGTTAAATGAAATACAACATGACGGTATTAACTGAACTATTAATTTTTACTAAGAGTTCACAACAATGTAGAAGAGTATTGAGTTGCAACATTAAGTCAAATAGCAGAGAGTGCAGGGCTCCCCTGGTGGCGCAGTGGTTGGGAGTCCGCCTGCCGATGCAGGGGACGCGGGTTCGTGCCCCGGTCCGGGAGGATGGCTGGGCCCGTGAGCCATGGCCGCTGAGCCTGGGCGTCCGGAGCCTGTGCTCCGCAACGGGAGAGGCCACAACGGTGAGAGGCCCGCGTACCGCAAAA